TACTCCTAATTCCAAAAGTTCTTTTATGTGTGTTTTAAAGTCTTCTATATCTAAATTTGTAGCTTCTATATTCTTAGTTTTAATTATATATTCTGGATTCTTAATTTTTAATTCACATAATACTGTCTTTTTCCCAATATTTTAAAACATTTTCTCCTATTATTTCCATCTTTTCTAACCTAGAAATTAAGTTTTCTATTTTTTGTTCTGCTATTAACATATCATAAATCTTTTCATTGTCAATTAGTTCTATAATTCCAAAATCTAAATTATCTTCTTCTATTAATTGACATTCTCTTTCTTTTTCACACTTACAATTAATGCTATTATTGCTGTTGCATATATATATATATATATATTTTTTTGGAAACTGATGAAAATATCTAAAATTGATTTTTTTGGCGTGAATAGTACCCGTGAACAGTAAACGAACAGTATAAAATATTTTTCTTTTGGCGCTACTGTTGCAACTACTAATCAAGGCTGAAATTTGGGTGGTTGGGGCCATCTTTATTAGCGTAAGGCTGGAGATATAGTTTTATATAGATTTATGGTGGTGAGTGGTGTGTGTATGTGGCTTGGGATTTGAGTGGGTTTGTGTGGTGGATGGAGTGTTGGTCAAAGGAGACAAACTGAGCTCTGATACCAAATTGACGTCGGATGTAATAAGAGAATTGTAGGAGCAAGGGAAAGGAGGGGGAAAGAGAGAAGAAGAGGGGAAGAGGAGAAGATAGAAATTAGGGAGAGAAATCAATTTATTTCATAATCAAAAGTTGATTTAGTACGAAGCAAAATACCTTTTTATATAGGTTTAAACTAGTGCTAATTTGAGTAGGAAATTATTATAAAATCAACGAAGTCAAAACACTTACTATGTTTCCTAGAATAAACATCAAAATTGGAAACTAAATATCATAACATCTCTTTAATATTGCATCATATAGAGGATCATATTGTACCAAAGAGTGACTTTTTAGCTATTTAGGTTCCAATGGAAATAAAAAAGGACTTGATAAATGATGTAATGCATACAACTGGTCATTTAGGGACTTGTTATGTTGACAATGAAGATCGTTTTCTAGGTCGTTTCACTTCTCAAACAAACATATGAATTTGATGGAGATCCGTAATGATATTATATCGAAGACTTGCCAAGTTTGGATACTTATTTTAGGAAGAGAAATTAGAACTTAGTTCGAAATATTTTCTTATTGTGTTCCTACTATAATTAAATTAGTTTAAAGCCTTACATATATAGAGGGTTAATTTGTTTTAGAATTAACTTAGATAATTGAATAATGTAAAATCTCTCTCTCTCTTTCCAGCCCCTTCCCTACTCTTACTTCTTCCCCCTTTCTCCATATTCTTTCTTATATAGTTTTAGTCTCTCTCTCTCTCCCTCCATCCCCTTCCCCGCTCTTACTTCTTCCCCCTTCTCTATGTGACGATCTGAATCCTTGACAGTTCGGATGTCACTAAACTGAAACTAATTTAAATGATATTCAACATAATCATATAAATTATTTAAGCACTTACGAAAATTCAAATAATGTAATGAATTTAATAAATTAACTTGAAATGAGAAATATCTTATTGTTATTTTGAATCGGGTCTCCTTTGCCTCTTTTACCATAGTTGTGTTGTCTTTTGCTCGTGCTCTCTTCCCACTTGCGATTTTCCGTATGCCCACATAGTTGCTTCTTATCCCCACTAGAGCGGCCTCTGAAGTCTGCCAGTTGGCCCTTTGTTAACACTTTATGTAGGTTCCTAGTTCAAATACTATCACTACTAGCCTTAGATCATCCCTTAAACTCTATTCAAAACACCTTGTTCTTTTCTCCTTCGTATACACAAAGCTAGGGGTATAACGGGATAATTCTTCAAACTTCCGCTCGTATTCAGTAAGAGACATCGAGCCTTGAGTCACTGTAATAAACTCAGCCTCCTTTTGATTTCGAACACTTGTGGGGTAGTACTTCTTCAAAAAGTTCTCCTCGAATTGGTTCCATGTTCACACATGTCCACAAGCTCTTAACCTTGAGGGTGAGTCCGGCCAACGCATGATGTCCATTTTTAGCATAAAGGTTGCGTATGTAACTTTTCTGGAGTCTAGGCAGTCAATGAGATCGAAGATCCTTTCTATCCCTGCCAACCAATCTTTTGCTTCCAAAGTATCTAAACCACCCTCAAAAGTTGGAGGGTACTATTTCCTAAATGGTTCCACGACAATAGCAGCTGTGTTCCTTGTATTTTTTGTTACTATTGGTGTTTGTTGCTGTGGTGACGGTGGTGGCGTTGGTTGTCGTGGTGGGTGTTGTGGCACTGTCGCCTGAGCGAAGGTACGTATCATGGCGAGGAATTGGTGAGCAAATTGTGGGTCAACCCGTTAAGTTGGGGTTGTTCTGGCTGTTGAGGTTGTTGGGGTTGTTCAACATTGTTAGTTCTTCTAGCTCGGGGGTGTCATAGCCTTAATAAATAACATTATAATAAGTAAAGACGGAAAGAAAAAATCTACAAATTTTATTATTATTATTATAAATAAATTTGTAAAATTTGAGTTTCTTGAAAAGAGTTTCTTTAAAAGGAGGACTTCTTGAAATGGGTTTCTATAGGAATTTTTGGAATAGATATTTGTAAAAATGAATTTTTCTTAAAAGCATTTGAAAATAGATGATTATTATTATTATTATTATTATTATTATTATTATTATTATTTTTTAAGTATTGTTTTCCATCTTGTTGATTTGAATAAAGCTCAACTAAAAGGCTTCTAGGGAAGGAAGGTCAGAAGTGGACCGCTTAAATCTGAAGCTTACCTTAGACGGTTTAAGTCTTTTTGACACGGTATTTTAATCTTGCAAATACACAAATCAAGAAAACTTAAACAATACGTGAAAATTAAACCTAAAATGTAAATTTTTATTTATATATTATCATTATCATCATTATTATTTAGTTAATTCTTAAATGACATATTCTAATTTAAAGGCTTTCTAAATTCTTTTGCTATGATTTTCAATAATTGAATCCAAGTACTGGCATAATATATATCGTTTACTTATTTATATCATTTTGAGTACTTTAATTCAATAAGAACATGTCATGTCTTTTTAATATTTTATGTTGCTACATGAAAATAAATAACTCACGATATTTTCAGTTTTTATAGCAAGTCATACTTATTAACATGTTCATAAATTGCATTCTTTACATGAGCAGCATAAACATATGTGCATAAAAACTAAAGATTTTATGTATAATGATTAAACTTGTGGCACACCTGATTCGAGGAGTGACGACTTGGAGTATGACTTTGCGTGTAAGAAATCATTTAATTCTTATTAAAACTTATTTATTTAAAACTAATAACTTATTTCGAATTAATAATTTAAAGAATAGTATTTAAATTATAAAATTCCTTGCAAAGCAAAAGGAAAAAAATTAAAATATTCTTTTTTCTAAAAAAAATTGAGTCTACAGAAAAGTAGACCGGCTCTGATACCAACTGTGATGACTCGAATCCTTAATGGTTCGAGTGTCACTAAACTAAAACTAATTTAAATAATATTCAACATAATCAAATAAATTGTTTGAGCACTTGCCAAAATTCAAATAATGTAATGGATTTTTAGTAAATTAACTTGAAACGAGAAATATCTTAAAACATTTAAAATCAAATGAAATAATAGTCTGACAACTTAATAATTTTATTATTGAAACTTTTACCACCATAAGTCATCTTTGTACCGACTGCCTCGAATCATCAATTATCTGAAAATAGAGACATAATAGGGTGAGAATAATTCTCAATAAGCGTGCGTGGATAATGAATTCATATATGTATTTCTACGGAAAATTCATAACTTGCATAAGAAGAAACAAAAATTTGACCGAACTTATATAATGGTAAATTCTCGTGCGTAGCGTTACTAAACTCCGATTCATTCTTAATAAAACATGCGTAGCATCGACCAAACATAACATAACCGTAGAAATTTTACATATATAAAAATTAGCCACCATAAACATAAAGCACAACTTACATTTTTACTGGACAATTCAAAATGATAAAATGGGTTATTGTTGAAAAGAGATCCCTGAGCCGCGTGTAGAGTTGATTATTCTCATATGATTGTATATGTGTACGACTATATTTAATATTAAAATGATGAGAAAGAGAGGAAAGTGGAGAGACAAAGTTATAGAGATGAAGAGGGAGAGTGTGTAAATAGTTGTTGAGGGATAGTTTAGTGTTGGGTTTATCTCCTATTTATAGTGAAAATTCTTGATCACGTGTAGAAAGTGAAAGTAAATGGCTAGATGTTGGGCATGATCAATGCTTAAATGGTGTATTGTCATGAAAATGATAAAATCAATAGCTTTAACCATGAGGCTAGATCAATTCATTTAGCTAAAACTTGGTTTAATTAATGCGTGTGGTCAATTCAATTTCCTTTATTTATGTGGTTAAATTAATTACATTGGCTTGAAATTTGGTGTGAATAATGCATGTGGTCAATAACTCATCATTGATCAAGACCAATTGGCATGATTACATATGTTTTATGCATGATTTCATCTAATTTTCAAAACTAACTTATACTTAGTCCTCAAACTATTGGTTAATAACTAATAAGGTTATTAGACTAGACCAGTAATCAACAAGGTCATTAAACTTTAATAATAACGCACTTGAGTCCTAAATTTAAATTTAATGAGCAGTAAAAATTGGGGACGTTACTCTCCATGTCCTTTCTTATGTAGTTTTAGTATCTGTTTTGTGTGTACTGCACCAGAATTTCAATAGTTGTCCCATGAATTATCAATGACATAACTTTGATGAAATAAATTTCAACAGAAAATGTCGCATGCCAGGCAAACCATCCGCTATAATTGTTGGCACAAATAATACAGGCTTATTTCATTTTCTCTATATAGAAACCTTGAAATCTTTATTTCCTCTGTTACCAACAAGAAGCTAACTCTTGCTGTATTTGCAGGAGTTGTATCACGAGCTGCATGCTTTGGACAGATTTGAACAAGATTATCAGGCGAGGTTAGAGGAAGTAGAATCTTTACACCTGCCTCAAAAAGGTTAGACAAACTGGTTTTCCTTTGAATATGGTGTTCTTTAAACAAAAAAAATAAAGATAAAATTGTGATTTGATTTTGCTCGATGGTGGCCATGGGGTAGATGAAGGTATATGCTATTCTTTTTGAAGGTGAACTCTTAGACATTGGAATATATTCAAGTAGAATTGGCTGTATGAAGATTTTGTTGCCCATTTATATGTGAATAGTTATTGGAAATATTATGTTTCGTGCCAAAAATTTATTCAAGAAAAATGAATAGTTATAACTGAAGATTGATGCAACTCTCAGGATTGATGCAACTCTATCAGGACAAATCTCACTTTTCTACTACTATAAGGATATTTTCTTAATTGACAGATAACTAATTTCTTTCTTGTAATTGTAGGAGAGAGTCTCGTAATGTTACAAAGTGAGCTAAAACATCAAAGAAAACTCGTGCGGAGCTTGAAAAAGAAATCTCTTTGGTCTAAACGTTTGGAGGAGGTACTTGATTATTCAATTGCTTTCATCATAATTGTTCATAGTTATTTGAATGTCGTAGAACATCTTTTGAGCATTGCATGTGATATTTGCTTCTATATTTCCACTAGAAGCGATATATTTTCCAAATAAATATTTTACATTCTCAAATTTGACATAGCTACCTTTTTTGATGTGGATGACAAGATCAAATTATTATCTTTCTTTTGAGTTTTATGGAAAATATTTATGTCTTCTAAAAATATTTGCTATTGAAATGATATAAAATTTCTTGTCTTGCCTATCAGTATTTTATACGGTGATATGAACCATCTTGAATTTATTTGGTTTGATATTTTACTATGTGTAGGTTGTGGAGATGCTTGTTGATGTCGTCAGTTTCATTCATCAAGATATTTTAGAATCATTTGGAGATAATGGTATGAATTCATGCACAATATACTTTCTCTTCTCATTCGGTTCCTTCTCTCTTTTATAAAGGATAGAGAGAGTTTGCTTCTCTAGTAATAGCTTCTCTTTATGCCTTTGCTGTTGATGCATGACATTGTGATAGAAACATTGTGTATCAGTTTAATTCATATCTTTTCTTTTATTCTCAACATATTTTATATACAATCGGCTTTGATGAGCTTCAAAACTCTAATAGTGGTAGTCTAATTACATTACTGCTGCATTTAAGACTTCCAAGACCTGCTTTTCCGATAAGTTCCACGATGTTCTACTACCTCATTCTTTGACTCGTCAAAAGCTAATACAAAATTTCTTGCTTCTGAATTTTCCTCTGGCAAAGCAGACCATTTTGTTATAGATAATGGATTGGCATTAATTCTGGTCTTACGTCTGATAATTAAGGTTATTGTTGAGAAGTCCTCCCTTATCCTCCCCTATGTGAGGTGGTAGTTTCAGTTCCAGGACTTGAATCCTTCTTATTTTGTTAAAATGGGGACATTCCAAGTTTCAGTGGTTGAAGATGCATAATATTTTGAAAGCTATGTCCTTCCATTCCACAAGAACGAATTTCATTGGCCACAGATTTACTCCAAAGTCGCCACTCAAATTTTTTATACGAGCATGCAGCTTGTTTTTAAGACCTTTTGTCTACTGGATTAGAACAATCCAGGGTTCTCGGTTGTTTAGAAGAACATACTGTTGTTCTCATCCATCCATTATTTTAATATCTTGAGAAATTTGCACTATATGTCTCCAACATATCGCTTGAATAGCAAGTTGCTCCCTCACTTTTAAAAAGAGCAAGTTAGCTCTCGACCTATCATCACAGTTACACAAGCAATCACTAAAGATGGAAACCATCTACTTCATGTGGCCCTCGTGAAAACATATCCCTTCAAAATTCTGGTCACTTGCCCAAGTTGGAAGACAAAACCTAGCTTCATAAAGTTGGACATGTGAAGGACATGACAATTTTACAGAGTTTTATGTGGTTTTCGTTGTTGTCAACTGATTATGCAACTGAATGAGAGGTTGAGCAACTTGGTCTTTTTTAAAGGTTGGGGCCAAGTTATTACTGGGGCAATATCAAAAAGTTGGCGGTAAGCGTGTTTTAGATTTATATTCTCATACTCTCGATTTTATCCACTATTTGGCCAGGGTTGGCATCTTACAGCAAGGCATCTTCTCACAAACCAGAAAGGCTAGGTGTTGCTGGTCTTTCTTTACATTATGCTAATATAATTACTCAAATTGATAACATCGTAAGTCTAGTATTTCATTTCTTCGGTAGTATTTTGCTCGTTTGGTGTAATTACCCAACTGAAGTTCCTTTATGAAATTCATTTTTAGGCATCACGCCCCGCCTCTCTTCCTTCTAATATGAGAGATACATTGTATAATGGGTTGCCACCAACTGTCAAGAATGCTCTTCGCTCCCGATTACAAACCATTGGCACCGAGGAAGAGGTATGTTCTTTCTTTCCTCGTGAATATGAGATATGTTCTTCAAGCTAGTTCTTCGCATCATCTTTCTTTCTTTTAGAGTGTGCCCCATTAGTCTTAGTAAATCCCATATGTATTTTCGTTCTGAGGGGAGTTGGTTTTGGAGGAGGGCTCTGTGATTTTATATTTCTGTTAGATTTGTTGTGGTCATCGATGCAATCTTTACAACTGTTGAGCTAAGTAAAGTTTTCTTGCAAGTAAATAAGCACATTTCAAAATAAGTAAATCTTTCATTGATCAAAATTAAAACAAGTTACTTAGTGTGCCCATAGATGTTTTGAATCGGACTAAATGTCCTGTCTTAGTAAATCCCATATGTATTTTCGTTCTGAGTGGGGTTGGTTATTGGAGGAGGGCTCTGTGATTTTATATTTCTGTTAGATTTGTTGTGGTCATCCATGCAATCTTTACGACTGTTGAGCTAAGCTTAAAGTTTTCTTGCAAGTAAATAAGCACATTTCAAAATAAGTAAATCTTTCATTGATTAAAATTAAAACAAGTTACTTATTTTGATATTAAGATACAAGTTACTTTTCAAACTAAGTAATTTCTTTTTGCCCAACTAAAAGTAAGAAAAAAACTGCTTATCTAACATGTTTGAAAACAAAAAGTTACCTTTTGCTTATTTTTCAGCTAGCCGAAGATCTATTGTTTTCCCTATTTTATCTTTATATGGGTGAGGTGAAATTTTCCTTTTCTTTCTTTTGTTTTTTTTGTTTTTCACCCCTGGAATTGATAATTCCAAGATTTCCTTTCTCCTTCAAACTTCTGCATTGCATCCTTGTGGTAAAAATGCTTTTCCCTTATCCTTCATGCATGTTCTCCAGATTTAGCTTCTTTAGATTTTGCCTTTTGCAGCTCACAGTTTCTCAAATCAAAGCCGAGATGGAGAAAACTTTCCGGTGGCTAGTTCCATTAGCATTGGATACTACCAAGTACGTAATGTTAATATCTGTGAAAAACATACGGCATCTTGCTTTAAAAACTATACCACCGGAAATTGTGAATCTTTTTGTAATTTTTTGGTTTACCTTTTGTCTTAATTTTATAATTTACTACCATCACCATCTTTCCCGTGTTCCCCACTGGAAACAGAGCACACCAAGGATTTGGATGGGTTGGAGAGTGGGCAAATGCTGGGTTAGTCGAGAGCTCTCATTCTGTATGTTTTCTTCACAAAATATCAATAACTAAATTTTATATGCGCTTAATGGCAGAAACGAGTTTGGCAAGAAAACAGGCACGCCAAGTAACCTGATTCGCTTGCAGACACTCTATCATGCGGAAAAGCAGAAGGCCGACTCCCACATCCTTGAGCTAGTGGCATGGCTTCATCGTCTTGTTAGCCTCGTAACTTATAGAGATAACGGGCTCAAGGCTCAACCAGTACAATCTCCGACTCTCAGAGGATCAAATGCATTGTCATCAAACAACAATGCTGGAATTCGTACAGTTCAGCTCTCTCCCGATGATAAAAATTTGTTGGACAAGGTCACGAAAAGGAAGAACTTGGCCACCGGACTAAGCAAAAGCCAGGAATTTATGACGGTGCAGAAGAGGAAAAATAAGGTTTGGGCATTGAGCAGGAGCACTGGGAGCTCTCCCCGTAGAGGACTTGAACACCTGAAGGGTAACGTTTTGGATATATTAGATGGGTTAGATTCTACTTTTTTGGCTCCTAGAGAAGATATTGGATGAAGTGATCATTCTTTTATTTTATTTTGATTACATATATATAAGAAATCTCTGATGCCCTATCTTTGGAGTTGTATTTGATGATTAATATATTAATATATAGAACAGAAAAGTTCTCAACATTCTGGTAGTAATTGTTGACCTCAGTATCCGGTGGATCGAGTGGTCAACAGAATGTCGGCCACCTCCTCTAGGCAGGCATCACCTATATACTATAACACATTGTTCGAAGGCAAAAGCTACTGGCCCATAAAAAAGTTCAATGATCGCTTGCACTTCAATAATCAAGTTAACAGTTAAATGAGAGAAAATGAGTGCAAGAGAAGGGAGATGGAGATTTGGTCAAGGTTAAGATGAAATTATATTGTGTAAAATGGATTCTCACTCAGAGAGAGAGAGAGAGAGAGATGAAAATTGGCCAAGTGGGTTAATAGATCGAGCTCGAAGCTTAATATGAGATTGTTGATTACATAGGTCCAATTCAATTGAATAATCAATGCTGAATCGGTATATGTGGGATTTCTTTCGTGACATGCATATCACATAATTTATAGATATAAAGTTCTTCAATTTTGAATCGTACATAATATAAATTGTCATGGTTTATGAACTTTTAATTGATGGTTTTACTTTTGCAAGAATATTACTAAAATATATAAAGTTATTTTGTTGAACTTTTCCATATAAAGTATATGTTTTATAATGATTGATTGTTGTGTTTATTGTTCCAAATTCATATTTCACTATATATAATATAGAATTTGTGAAATTGGGTTACAAATTAATATTCAGTTAAGAAAACAATGTGAGGTTAATTTAGTTATTAGTAAAAAATGGAAATAAATTTTTTATTCAACAAAAATAGTTAATATTATTTTTTATAGGAATTGACTCGTCGGTTGAACCATCGAGTCGTCAGTTGAATCATTGACCTGTTGACCCACTGCATTGTCTGGGTTGACATCCGAATTGAATCTGATAACTATGATGAATTGATCAAAAATACGAGAGTAATATTATCTAGTTTAGTTAGGCCGACATTTCGTACGACAATGAGAAGTAACCTTGAACAAAAGCACATGCGCGTTGGTCTATCGTCATTTTCAGAAACCCTGCAACAAGAATGTGCTCCAAATTGTTGTACAATGAACACAAACCCAAGGCTAGATTACCCTTAATATTCGTTGTATCCTTATCCATTACATTTCCTCCTCCTCGATTACCCAAAAGCCACCCCCCTTCATATATTTGATTGTGTTCTATGCAGGGGCGGATCCAGACGATTTAGGTTAGAGGGTCAAAAATAAAATTTATAGGGTATCTTCTAATAAAAAAAAGCTAAGGAAAAAGAAAAAAAAAAAA